TTTCAGAAATTATATTTCTAACCCATCGGTGTCCCAAATGTGTCCAGATGTGTCCCTTACGTGTCTGTCTGCCAAAAAAAAAAAAAGAAAAAGGGACATTCTCTTCAGCGTGTCGGACACGTGTCCACTGCGTGTTCGTGTCCGACACTAATAAGTGGCCCTCGATCAGATGTCCATGCTTCATATCCTATACCTAACACCACCCCCCCCCAATGCTTCAAAATTTTCTATTTCTATTTCTTGAAGAATTACAATATCTATATTATTCCTAATCAAAACCTCCTTTACCACACTTCTGCTTTTCTTGGACAGTTCTCCACTCACATTCCAACTTATAATCTTCATTTTAGAACCACTTCTATCCATGATCTCATTTGCTGGACCATCATATTAATTCAATATGTCAAATTCCTCAATTCCTAATTCCCTTCCTACAAATACCCTTACCTCTCCTATTCCCCTCCACCCCCTCGGCCCAATTCCTTTCTAACACATATCCCCTTTTGATCCATCCTCTCACCTTCTTCACTTAACTTTATCATAGACAAACCCTTTATGTCTAGTACCTGACTTAACCTCCCACCCCCACCTCCACCTCATCCAGAGGAGCAGGTGTATTCCTCTCTTCTTTAACTCAATCAACCATTTCACATTTTCATTTAAGTTTCCTACCCTTGGAAGGCTTACCCCCTCCCATGATCAGGCAATAAACATTCAATTTATGACAGACTACCATAGTGACAAGACTGAAAAACAAGGAGTAATGGCCTTTAAGATTCTCACCAGGTATAATAGGTTTATCCTCAACCCCAAGTAAATCAACTCTCTCAGAAATTGACACTAGGCAAGCGGTTAAAACAAAAGCACCACTCCTAAAAGAGGGAAAGCTTGGTTCCTTCATCAATGAAATCAATCTTATCCCAATAGAAACTGTTAGCATATATAGTCATCTGTTATTTTTTGTGTTAACTTAAGTGAGGGTACTATGTTCATATTATATTTCATATAAATATTTGCTATTTGTTTTAGATTTATTTTAAGAACCTAAGAACATTTAATTTTCCCAAACATTGCCAAATTACTTATGCAACAACCAAACCAAACTGATGTGCGAAGTCCAAACAACCAAACCAAACCAAACCAAATTCATTGAATAGACCATTATAAAAATCAATCACATACTTAAAATTTAATACAAAACATGTAAATTCTAAAAGCAAACTTCAAAATTCAAACAATTAATAAGCAAAACTTTAATATACAATTGTGAAGTCTGTAATTACGATCTCCTTACTATGTATTCATGAAATGAAGGAGAACAGAGAGAGAAGGGTAAAAAATATCAAACCCAAATCACAACAATCAAACCCAATGTACATAACTTGAAGCGAATGTAAAATAAAGAACTGCAGCAAGCCCGAAATTGGGGTAAAATACCTCTGTTCTTGAAGACGACAGTGTGGGGTTGGAATTGCAGCAAGCCAAATTGCAGCAAGGGAAATTAGTCAAAAACAAAAACAGAGAGAGAAGGGAAGAGGCAGAAATTGAGTGGAAAGACTCAATCTGACCTTGTAAGAGTAGCGTCGGTGGCATGTCGATAACGACAGCGGGGTTTGAACTGTAGCAAGCCAAATTGCAGCAAGAGAAATTAGTCAAAAACAAAAACAAAGTGAGAAGAGGAGAGGTAGAAATTGAGTGAAAAGGCTTAATCTTACCTTGCGAGAGCAGCGTCAGTAGCATCGATAGCGAAGGGAGCTGAGTTTGAAGGGTTGTAAGGGAAGGAGGAACAGCGTAGCGAAGAGGGAGGGTGGGTATCGAAGGGTTGGGTTTTTGCTGAATTCGGTCTTCCTCTTAAATGGCGGTGTGGATGAGCAGTAGTGGGCTATTTTGTGAGAATGTGAGAGAGAACGTGGGAGAGAGGGAGTTGAAGAGAACGTGTTTGGGGACGTGGGAGAGAGGGAGAGATGAGCTCAAACAGGTGAGAACTAAATGTATATAGACCATTGATCTAAATGTATATGTTCTTAGGATTGATCTAGATCATTAAAATCAAATGTATCTCTGATACATTTTAGACATTTTCAAAAACCATTTTGCTTTATTATATATATATATATATATAAGACAGACTGACTAAGAGAAAAGCCACAAAAAAAAATTGAAGAAGAAAAATAAAAAATAAAATAGAGAAGAGGAGAGAGAGAGAGAGAGAGAGAGAGAGAGAGAGGAACAAAGAAATCTGGGAAAGGAGAGCCAAATTTCACCACAAAATCATGAAATTGAACAAAGAAAACTTGAACCAAACTCGATGAATGGAGGTTAGTGGACAATAAAAGAATAGAAAAGTCAAAGAGAGGAGAGGACAGAACAAAAGAAAGAGAGAGTGACTGAGAGAGAGAGCTAAGAAGAAGAAGATCAAAGAAGATCGAATGAAGAAGAGAATCAAGCAACACACCTTCGATAACAGCGAAAGCAACGACCAGTGAACAGCAAGTAGAGACCAGCGAGCACTGACCAGCGACGACTGACCACCAACGAGCCACCAGCGACCACCGACGAGCCTTTCTCTCAGTCTCTTCTCTGCTCTCAGTTAGAAACTAGGTTAGCAATTGATTTTTAATTTTTGTTTTTACAAATTGACCCCCACTTGAAGTTTCAGAAATTATATTTCTAACCCATCGGTGTCCCAAATGTGTCCAGATGTGTCCCTTACGTGTCTGTCTGCCAAAAAAAAAAAAAGAAAAAGGGACATTCTCTTCAGCGTGTCGGACACGTGTCCACTGCGTGTTCGTGTCCGACACTAATAAGTGGCCCTCGATCAGATGTCCATGCTTCATATCCTATACCTAACACCACCCCCCCAATGCTTCAAAATTTTCTATTTCTATTTCTTGAAGAATTACAATATCTATATTATTCCTAATCAAAACCTCCTTTACCACACTTCTGCTTTTCTTGGACAGTTCTCCACTCACATTCCAACTTATAATCTTCATTTTAGAACCACTTCTATCCATGATCTCATTTGCTGGACCATCATATTAATTCAATATGTCAAATTCCTCAATTCCTAATTCCCTTCCTACAAATACCCTTACCTCTCCTATTCCCCCCCACCCCCTCGGCCCAATTCCTTTTTAACACATATCCCCTTTTGATCCATCCTCTCACCTTCTTCACTTAACTTTATCATAGACAAACCCTTTATGTCTAGTACCTGACTTAACCTCCCACCCCCACCTCCACCTCATCCAGAGGAGCAGGTGTATTCCTCTCTTCTTGAACTCAATCAACCATTTCACATTTTCATTTAAGTTTCCTACCCTTGGAAGACTTACCCCCTCCCATGATCAGGCAATAAACATTCAATTTATGACAGACTACCATAGTGACAAGACTGAAAAACAAGGAGTAATGGCCTTTAAGATTCTCACCAGGTATAATAGGTTTATCCTCAACCCCAAGTAAATCAACTCTCTCAGAAATTGACACTAGGCAAGCGGTTAAAACAAAAGCACCACTCCTAAAAGAGGGAAAGCTTGGTTCCTTCATCAATGAAATCAATCTTATCCCAATAGAAACTGTTAGCATATATAGTCATCTGTTATTTTTTGTGTTAACTTAAGTGAGGGTACTATGTTCATATTATATTTCATATAAATATTTGCTATTTGTTTTAGATTTATTTTAAGAACCTAAGAACATTTGTTAAATAAAAATCTTCCTCCACTTGTTCCTTCTCTCTCTCTCTCTAACCATAATCTAAGTTTTTCATACTTTTACACTTCAACTTGGAATCAGAGCATCAATTCAACTTTGTCAAGTGTTCATCAGACTCCTGAGATTCTGTTAAGGTGACACCGTCTAACATCATCTTCTGTACAATGGTGTCAGCATGACGTCATAGTCTATACGGACGAGTCGAGCCACTCTAGGTCGTCTCTCTCTCTCTCTTGATGTTAATGGTGATTTTTTTGGAACTTTTTCGAATCACCTAGTGTTAGAAATAATATATTTTAATGATTTTTAATTCATTGTTTTGATTTATTTTGAAGAGTAGATTATCACTGGAAACTTATTATTTGATAAAATATCTTCTCTTTGCGTTAATTATGTTATTTGGAGGTCAAAATGAAGATTAAATAGGTATAACACAAGGAAACAGCAAGAAGCAGCAGCAGAGACCTACGAAGCAGGAATTCTACCTGCAGGGACGTCCGGGTGGATGACCACCAAGCTTTGCTCCGGCTGTCACACAAAGAGTATGCTCGACGACCGCGATCATCATACCTCTCGTTCGGGACTTGACGAAAAGCCCTAGAGACATCCGGGTGGACGACCGGGTGGATGACCACCAAGTGCAAAGCTTCACCAAAAGTGTTGTTAGAGACCTGACAAAGCGTGACTAAGCGCTCGCCTAAGCGTGAGGCGAGGCGAGGCGAGGCAACCCTTAGCACTTAATACCCACTAAGGCCAGGCGAAATGGTGAAGCGAAGTCGAAGCGCATGAAGCGAGGCTTAGGCGTCGAAGCGAGAGGCGATACGAAGCGTCGTTTCACCATTTTTTGTCTACTTTCAGTTCGAAAGATCTGGGCCCTTGATTTTAAGGACTTTCGTCCTATTTGTGGACATGCATTGCACTTTATAATTGCTTTCTACTAAATAAGAGGTCGAAACCTTAGTCGACATCATTCCAGTCGACAATTGCTTTTAAGAACCTCACTGATTACCTGCTTCCAACATCGTTCCAGTCGAAAGAGGAGGTGAGTACCTGTTCTCCTGCTGCTTCTTCTTCCTTTCGTCTTCTTTTCTTCTTCCAAAACTCTTTTTTTCTTTTTCTTTTTTTCCTTTTCTTCTTCTTTTCCATTGCAAAATCATTTAATGGAAATGAAAAGAAGTGCAAGGAGTTTTTTGAAATAATTGACAATAGATGGAATGTTCAATTGCATAAACCCATAGTATTTTTACGCAAATCCGAATATCGAGAATGATAAGGAAGTCATGTCAAGCATGTATAAATGTATACAAAGGTTGGTCCCAAGCAGTGAGACACAAGATAAAGTTTGCGCAGAGTTGACTACCTATAAGAAAGCTAAAGGTCTCTTTGGGATGGATTTGGCGATTAGACAAAGAACTACAAGGGTACCAGGTGATCTATATTTTATACTTAAGTAATTTTAGTTAGCTTTTTATATTTTAAATATTCTTTCTAATTAATTAGTTATAATCAACAGCTGATTGGTGGAGTGCATATGGTTCTGAAACGCCACATTTGCAAACATTAGCCATCAAAATTCTTAGTCTAACTTGTAGTTCATCTGGATGTGAGCGAAATTAGAGTGTGTTTGAAGATATGAGTACCTATTTTTAAATGTAGTGAATATGAATACCTATAAATTTATTAATACCTAGATAAAAATTTGAAACTTTTTATTTGGTTTGAATTTTTGTAGATTCACAGTGTCACACCCCACTTTTTATTACTCGAAGTATTACCAATTTCATTAAGTATAATAGAGCATTGAGACGTCGATACAATTCCCGTGACACTATTGATCCCATTGCTTTGACGGATATTGATGAAAGTAACGAGTGGTTGGTTGGGAGGATGGAGGAGGAACTTGTCTTTGAAGATGATACTTTGACATGGGATGATGTTGCTAGAGCTGCTGGAGTTGAGGAAAGTAGCCAAAGAACTAGATCAATAAGAGCAATAAAAAGGGGTCATTCAACTTCAAAATCAGCAACTAGACCTAGATTACAACTTATTGATGAAGAAGAGTCAATTTCAATTGGGGGAGAGGAAGAAGATGCAGAGGGATATGATGATGCCAATGATAATGAAGAAGAAGTTCATTTGCTTGATGTTGAAGATGATTTTTAGAACCTTTGGATTGGTGGATTGTATTTGTCTTTGTTGGACATTTTTTGCTGCTTATGGATATTTAGTATTTGGAATGATAAATGCATGATGGTTCTTGAAAATATTTATATTTTTTCCTATACTATTTATTTAAAAAAAAATATCCTTTGTGGTCGCCTTGATTCGATGAAGCCCTCGCCTCGCCTCGTTGCCTCGCGCTTAGGTGTTACGAGACCTTGTCACTTTGGTTCGCTTTTTGCCTTAAAAAACACTGTTTTCCAATCAGAGTAATATCTCTCATGTTTATGAGTTATGTATGAGCAGATCTTTGCTACCCGACAGTCTGACCGTCCTCTTCCTGAATATTACAATGGCCTTAAGACCTTGTGGGATCAATTATTGCAACACCGACCTTTTATTACGGATTTGGCTTAACAGAAGACATATTGGGAGGAATTTACGATGGCGTCCTTATTTTTGGGTGCTAATGCCTAATCTCTGTTGTTGCACCCTTCTTTGGGACAGAGTTCTTCCACATCTGGTTCCTCTCAGTCATTGTCTTATTATTCCTTGATCTCGAGCAGTGGTGACCGTGAGACTAATCGTGGTAGTTTTCATGGCAATTCTAGTCACCGTGGATCCCATACTGGTTCCCGTGGTTCTTGTGGTGGTCGTTACTCTCATGGTTCTCATGGTGGTGGTGGCGGGCGTGGTACTGGCTCCGCGTCCCGTGGGGATCGAAAGTGTACTCATTGTGATTCCTTGGGTCATTCTGAACCCTAGTATTGGCAGAAGTATGGTAAACCTGATCATGTGAATTAGGTTATAGATGTTCCATCCTCTCAACCGATATCCTTTCCCTCTGGTCCTGGTGCTTCCCTAACTGATTCTCATGATGCATTCACCACTCAAATTAGCGATCTTATTGAGCTAGTCAATTCTCTTCGTACTACTCTTCCTTTATCCTCTGTCGCTACATTGGCTAGTTTAGGTAATATTGCATGCATGGCTCAATCCCAACCTTGGCTTCTAAACTCTAGCGCTGGTTCTCATATCTTTGGTAATTCCTCTCTTTTTCTTACTCTTCATCTTGTTACTCATGATATTATACTAGCTAATGGATACTCCCGACCTATCAGTGGCTAGGGTACACTTCAGCCCACTCAATCTCTTTTCTTACCCTCGTACCTTCTAGTCTCTATGTTCCTAATTTTCCATTTAATTTGTTTTCTGTTAGTCAATTAACTGAAGTTCTTCATTGTTCTGTAACCTTTTCTCCCTTATGTGTTTTGCAGGACCTCCAGACCAAGAAGATAATTGGTTCGGGCATGAGAAGGATGGCTTATATTTTCTAGATACTGATGGCTCTCCTCCTCCTACTTTTGCTATTTTGAGTGCCACCGCGTCTCCCTACAATGGCATTTTCGTTTAGGTCATCCATCATTGACCAAGCTTAAGTTAGTTATTCCTAGTTTAAGTCATATGTCTCAAGCTTGAATGTGAAGCATGAGTCAAAAATCATTCACTGCATTAACTGTTAGCTATTTCACTGTTAAGTTCATCATTGTGCTTGATCATTAACTGTTATTCATCCATCTATCATCAATTAATTATTTGTTGTACTAGTTGTTAATTTTATTGGGTAATTGTTCATTTTTATTTATAGAAATCTAATTCACCCCCCTCTTGGATTGCCTTTTGGGTAACATCTAGTGTGTGTTTTCTATTTTTGAATTTTTTTTCGAGTTCTTGGTGGTAATATTCTGATATGTGCTAAAGCTCCTTACCCATAATTTTTTGATTGTTGAAATAAGTTCCTTGGGATCTGAAATAGCCCTAGGAGGCTCTTTTTAACTTTGTTTTGCTTCGGTGCTGCTGCTGGGTTGATTTTCTGGTAATTTTTGTGTGTTTCCTTGGTTCGCTGCTACTGGTGGGTTGATTTGTTGATGGTTTTTGGTGTTTTCCCTGGTCCAGCAACCCTGTTCTGCCTGCTTTGATCATTCTGGCTAATTTATGCTCATCTTTGACTACTTGCTGATGCTAGTGATTGGGTAATTTCTTTCCCAAACTCTGTTCCAGTGGGTTGCTTTCCCTTGTGCATTTTTTCTTCCCCTCTTTGAATCTTTTGTTTGCTGCTGGTCTTTGTTTTCCTTATCATGGCTGAGCCAAAACCTAATGTGAAATCTTCAGTAGCTAAGGATGATGAGTTACCTAAGTCTATTACCACTAAGAAATTAAATGGTCTGAATTATCTGGCTTGGGCTCATGCTGTTAAGATTTTCTTGCGTGGCAAGAAGAAGTCGTGTTTTCTTACTGAACTTCCACCTACTAAGGATGCTACATGTTATGATGATTGGTTGAGTGAGGATTCATGTGTTATGGGGTGGCTTTGGCATAGTTTGGAACCTCATGTTGCTACTACACTGGAATTTTGTGACACCTCTAAGGACATTTGGGACTCCCTTGCTGATTTTTTTTCCAATCAGAGTAATATCTCTCATGTTTATGAGTTATGTATGAGCAGATCTTTGCTACCCGACAGTCTGACCGTCCTCTTCCTGAATATTACAATGGCCTTAAGACCTTGTGGGATCAATTATTGCAACACCGACCTTTTATTACGGATTTGGCTTAACAGAAGACATATTGGGAGGAATTTACGATGACGTCCTTATTTTTGGGTGCTAATGCCTAATCTCTGTTGTTGCACCCTTCTTTGGGACAGAGTTCTTCCACATCTGGTTCCTCTCAGTCATTGTCTTATTATTCCTTGATCTCGAGCAGTGGTGACCGTGAGACTAATCGTGGTAGTTTTCATGGCAATTCTAGTCACCGTGGATCCCATACTGGTTCCCGTGGTTCTTGTGGTGGTCGTTACTCTCATGGTTCTCATGGTGGTGGTGGCGGGCGTGGTACTGGCTCCGCGTCCCGTGGTGATCGAAAGTGTACTCATTGTGATTCCTTGGGTCATTCTGAACCCTAGTATTGGCAGAAGTATGGTAAACCTGATCATGTGAATTAGGTTATAGATGTTCCATCCTCTCAACCTATATCCTTTCCCTCTGGTCCTGGTGCTTCCCCAACTGATTCTCATGATGCATTCACCACTCAAATTAGCGATCTTATTGAGCTAGTCAATTCTCTTCGTACTACTCTTCCTTTATCCTCTGTCGCTACATTGGCTAGTTTAGGTAATATTGCATGCATGGCTCAATCCCAACCTTGGCTTCTAAACTCTAGCGCTGGTTCTCATATCTTTGGTAATTCCTCTCTTTTTCTTACTCTTCATCTTGTTACTCATGATATTATACTAGCTAATGGATACTCCCGACCTATCAGTGGCTAGGGTACACTTCAGCCCACTCAATCTCTTTTCTTACCCTCTAGTCTCTATGTTAACTCTTTCTCATTTAATTTTCTCTCTGTTAGTCAATTAACTGAAGTTCTTCATTGTTCTGTAACCTTTTCTCCCTTATGTGTTCTTTCCCATTTAATTTGTTTTCTGTTAGTCAATTAACTGAAGTTCTTCATTGTTCTGTAACCTTTTCTCCCTTATGTGTTTTGCAGGACCTCCAGACCAAGAAGATAATTGGTTCGGGCATGAGAAGGATGGCTTATATTTTCTAGATACTGATGGCTCTCCTCCTCCTACTTTTGCTATTTTGAGTGCCACTGCGTCTCCCTACAATGGCATTTTCGTTTAGGTCATCCATCATTGACCAAGCTTAAGTTAGCTATTCCTAGTTTAAGTCATATGTCTCAAGCTTGAATGTGAAGCATGTCATCTTGGCAAACATCACCATAGTTCCTTTTCTAGTCGTAGTATTAGTCATGTGTCTACGTCCTTTGATGTAGTCCATACAGTCATATGGGGTCCTTCTCACACTCCCACTATTAACTATTTTTTTTTATTTTGATATTTTTGTGAATGATTACTCTCAAATGACTTGATTTTTTTTTACTACGGCAACAGTTTAACTTGCCTCAAATAATTTCTAAGTTTTATAATGAAAGTTTTACTCAACTTAGGAAACGTATTAAAATATTGCGGTCTGATAATACCTTAGAATATGTGCAATCTATTGTGAATACTTTATGTGATGATCATGGTATTATACATCAAACTAGTTGTGCTCATACATCCTAGCAAAATAGTGTTGCTGAGCGAAAACACCGCTACTTGTTAAATATTGCCCGGACCTTGATGTTCAACATACATGTTCCCAAACAATTTTGGGGTGATACTGTGCTTACTGCATGTTCCCTTATTAACTGCATGCCAGCAGTTGTTTTACAAAACTGGTCTCCATTCTCTCAATTATACCGCACTTTTCCTTGTTTCCTCCTCCTCGTGTTTTTAGTTGTGTGGCCTTTGTACATGTCCTTGATTCGAGATTGGATAAGTTATCTGCCCGTGCTCACAAATGTGTTTTTTTAAGTTATTCTCGTACTCAAAAAGGTTATCGGTGTTATCATCTTGAGTGTCATCGACTATGAAGCATGGGTACTTTGAAAAACATGTCGTACCCGTACCGAGTACTTACAAGAGTTTAGTACCTCGTATGGTACTTCTGAATGCATACCTGGTACATGAAACACGTACCCAAAATTTTTTTTCTTAATTTTTGGCATATCCAAACGTACCTAGTATATACTCAAGTTGTACCGTACCTCAATTAAAACAATATTTTCTTCTACTACAAAGATAAAACTCCTTTCACTAGATTTCTTTTTTATTTTTTGTTTTATGCTTAGCATGATTTTAAAATTAAACTATGATTTGTAAGTTATTTAATATATTGACATTTAATTTTGATTTATACTTTTACTTTTGACATTAAATGTTAATTGTAGGTTTGACCTTAACAAATTAAACCATTTAATTAATTTTTGCATTACTCTAAATTAAAATAAATATTTGTTTACAAGCGTAACAAGACGTACACATACCCTTTTTTTTTTAAATTTTACCGTATCGACATACCCGTACCCATGCTTCATCGTCAGTCCTTTGTTAGTGC